CCCTCACCTAGCTTTTAGCTTTTGGCTTAAAATAAGTCATTTTTGACTTAAAATAAGTCACTTTGATAATTGCCAAACACTTCAATAAGTCAAAAACTGGCTTTTAAGCCAGCTTGACCAGCTTAAAAGCCCATCCAAACAGGCTCTAAGACCCTTTTTCTCATTTTGAAATACTCGCATATATACATCGACTTGAGGCAATACCAAGATAAAATCTGAAAGTTCACAAAATAGTAATGCGCCGTGATCGCCACAACATCAAGTGGGAGAGAGTGTGATGACACACTATGTCAACACGTCACATAAGTGCCACTTGGTACAAATTTTTTTCCATGTTGAAAACTTAAATAAGGAGGTTAATATGAAGATCCCAGAATCATGAAAAGTTTCTTTGAAAAGACTGTTTCGGGAAAAATATGAAATATTTTAACCTAGAATTTTTTTTAGAGAGTAACTTATTTGTAAATACATAAAAGGTTATATAATAATTATTATTATTATTATCGAATAGCCTCTAGATGAAAAATATATATAGGGAATAAAATTATGAAGAAAAATTAATCAATTTTTATGAAATGCACCCATCCATATAAACCCTAGACTAGACTAGATAAGTGATGATGTGTAAGAACTCTCCTAATTATAACAATAAAAAAAATAGCGTTTTGTGTGTGTGCGAAGAAGGGATAGTGTATTAAAAGTGACAAAGTAGTTTGTTAATTAGGTAGGAGTCCTCCAAGTTTTAAATATTAGGTAGAAGTGACAAATATATAGTTAATATTAATGAAATTAAAAAATCTTTCCTCAACAGCCCCAAACATTTAACTTTTACACTTTTACCCTATATTTTTTACCTCAAAATACCTAAAATTTCACTAAAATATATGAGAAGAAAAAAGGCGGTACTTTTTTCTCACCTGCAGCGTCTTCAACAACTAATCAGTTGACCAACAATTAAACACAAACAACTGCAGTAGTTGTTGGGACAACTTCTATAATCGTCCGATAACTACAGACAGTTGTTGGACAACTTCTATAATCGTCCGATAGCTACAGACTGTTGTTAGACAATTTCTATATCTGACAGAGATGTTTATTTATTTCTACAAACAACTTCAGCAGTTGTCCAGACAACTACGAAAGTTGTTGGCTGAAATAATCAAATTAGATTTAATAAACCTAGCTGAAGAATGGACACAAAGTAATTTTTATACTTATCAATAATGCTCTTTTGAAGTCCATTCTTCAGCTAGGTTTATTAAATCTAATTTGATTATTTCAGCCAACAACTTTCGTAGTTGTCTGGACAACTGCTGAAGTTGTTTGTAGAAATAAATAAACATCTCTGTCAGATATAGAAATTGTCTAACAACAGTCTGTAGCTATCGGACGATTATAGAAGTTGTCCCAACAACTACTGCAGTTGTTTGACAGTTGTGTTCAGTTGGTGGTCAACGAATTAGTTTTTAGGACAAGCAATATAATTGTGGGCAAAGTATTAATTGTTGAAATAAATAATTGAAGAATTATAGCAGTCTCCAAAGCTACTAAACTTTTATGCCAATTGTTGATAGTTGTGAGGTAACTAAATAGATGTAAAACAAGTAATCAATGTTCTTTTGCAATTTTGCAGTTCTTTGATGAATGTCTTACTTGTGATGTCTCCAGGTATTGTTTCCCTCTATGGAAGACCATATAATAATAGGAGTTGATTTACATGGTGAATGGGTGGAGAATCCTACTCGTTATACTTGGCGTTCGAAGGGCCGAGAGACAGTACCGATAAAGATAAGCGAGAATGTTACGTACGATGAATTGGTTGACATCATTGTTTCTAGGTTTGAATTAGATTGTGATAAAAATGATCTCTCTATTAGTTACATGCTTGGCTTTATTGAAAAGCAAAAAGGAGCTCCTTCTAGGATAAGAAACGATCTTGATTTGCGATTTTTTTTTGGATGATCAAAGTAGGCCAATTTTAAGGATATCTGTGGTTGAGAAGATTATAGAGACTACAAATTCAGTTGTAAATGATGAAGAGCATCCTGTTACAATGGATATTCCTATAAATGAGGAAGCTTCACTACATTCGATATCAACACAAGGTAGCCGCTACACAGATGATGACGGCACATATTTTTATAAGGGTAAAATTTTCAAGGACAAGCAAGAATTAACTAAATTGTTGAAGCTTGCTTCCGTGAAGAAAGATCAAAGATTCAAATCTGTGAAGAGTTCTAAAGATGTGTATTGTGCTAGATGTGTAGATCAGAATTGTGATTGGTGGTTGCGAGCTACAAAACTTAAAAGTTGTAATAGATTTGAAATTACAAAGTATCGCAACATTCACTCATGTGGGGCACAACACCTTACAAGTCATCATCCACATGCCTCAGCAGATGTCATTGCAGAATACATACAACCTAATTACTTGAATGGAAAAGGTCCCTCCACAAAAGACATAAAAAATATAGTGCAAGCAGATTTGGGCTGCAAGATTAGTTACTG